TCAAGCATAGTGGCACGTGCCTGTAGTCTCAGCTACTCGGGAGGCTGAGGCAGGAGAATCGCTTGAACCTGGTGAGTGGAGGTTGCAGTGAGTCAAGATCACCCCACTGCACTCAATCTGGACAACAGAGAGAAACTCTGTCTCAAAAAAAAAAAAAAAAAAAAAAAACTTGAGAAAATCTTTGTGTATTAAAATTGATATAACTTTTAAAAATAGAACATCATACAGTCCTTTCATACCTGTTCTTAGTTAATAATGGGGACAGTGTGGGAGGCTGAGGCAGGAGAATTGCTTGAACCCAGGAGGCGAAGGTTGCAGTGAGTCGAGATCGTGTCACTGCACTCCAGCCAGACTCTGTCTCTAATAATAATAATGGGGACAGTGGAAAGAAAGCTGGATTTGAAAGTCATGCTGAGATTAAGTGGACATGGTTTGGTGACTGGTATTAATATGTGAGAGTACTAGAGATGGCTCTCAGGCTCTACTTCTGTAGCAGGGTGAGCTATGGGGAAGAGAGAAACTAAAGGAAGTCTATCAGATTTGTGAAGGATGGAAATGAGTTCAGTTTTGACAGCTTCAGTTTTCATTGCCTCCAGGACATTTATATCCAGGTGGAATGAATGTCTAGCAGCCAGATGGATGCATAGGTCTGGAACTCAGAAGAAATATTGTGGACTGTTTTATATATAATTTATGTACTAATAATTTATATTTATAAAATACATTATATAATAAATTGCATAAATTATTTACAAAGTTAAATTTTTTTAAATCACATATTATTAGGGCTCATATTATGTACATCATGGCCTTAGAGGGCTCCTAGTATCTTCTACAGAAGCTCCTAATTAAATGATCATCTTCAGGTTACAGGATACCTTGAGTGAAGACTGACTCATCCATAACCAAAAGGGTTTTGTCGGTATTGATTCTACAGCTTGCAGCTTCAGATAGATAGATAGATCGATAGATAGATAGATAAATAGAATGATAGATAGATAGATAGATAGATAGATAGATACTTGTTTTAGCTAAGCTTTCTGTAGTCATTTTCTTTTCTCTCCTCTGAGTTTCCATTTGAAATGTCCTATAAAATTGGGAATCATGTCCCAAATTTCTGAATAAACCTTTCCTTAAGGGAATTTTCTATTGCTCCTATTAGGTATTTATTGCTCTATAACAATTACAAAACTAAGTAGGTTAAAATAACATATTATTTCACAGATTTCATAGGTCAGGGTTCTAGGTCCTCTGCTTCAGGGTCTCTCTCACAATGCTGCCATCAAGGTGTTGGCTATGGATGAGATCTCATCCGAAAACTCGTCTTCCTAGCTGAGACAGTATTTGTTGGCATTTAGTTTCTCATTGGACTGACAGTCTAGGCTCCTCACTAGCTGTTGGCTATAGACTATCCTCAGATCTTTGCCATATGTACTCTCCTAAATGACAACTTGTTTTATCAAAGACTGCAAGCCTAAAATGCAATAAGATCTGCTGCCAATAGAGAAGTTACAATCTTTTGTAACCTAATCACAGAAAGATAGTCTATCAGCTTTGCCTTATTCTATTGACTAGAAAAGGTCAGAAGCTCTAGCCCACATTCCAGAGGAGAGGATCACAGAAGGGCCTGGACATCAGGAGGGGAGATCGCTGAGGCCATCTTATAAGTCTGCCTACCATATAACTAATATTTACCAGTCTACAAGATCAAAACAAAAAGAGGCATTAACAAAAAAATCCCAATTTTTCTGTATGGAGTTATGTGATGTTATGCATGTCTAGGACCTTTAACTTGCTGGTTTCTCAATGAAAGGTAACTAATCATTAAAGTTGGTATGCTGTATGTACTCTGGAAGGTCAGGAAATGTATACTAACTGACAAAGAAAAATATATGAAATATAAAGTAAGTTTCCATCTAAAGTTTCTTGGAAACTCTAGTTGAGGCTTTTAAAAATGTACTTTTTAGCATCATTCTTCCAAAAGTACTCTTTAAAATAATTCTCAAGACTTCACAATATATTTTTTCTACAAATACATATTTCCCAACATCTGTAAAAGTGTAAATCTTAGAGTATTTTATGCTTACAAATTTGGTACTGAAGACAAGTATTTCTTGTAGTCTGCCAAATTTCTGTCACATTGGAAAATACACAGATGATTGTTTAAGATTCTGTGCCACTAGACAGGAATTATATTTCATATCTAAATGAGAGAATATTTTCTCTTAACTTGTTGCATTAAAACATTAACTAGTAATTCGGCCGGACATGGTGACTCACGCTTGTAATCCCAGCACTTTGGGAGGCCAAGGCGGGCGAATCACCGGGTCAGGAGTCTCAGACTAGACTGGCCAATATAATGAAACCTTGTCTCTACTAAAGATATAAAAAATTACCCAGGTGTGGTGGCACACGCCTGTTGTCCTAGTTACTTGGGAGGTTGAGGCAGGAGAATTACTTGAAGCCAGGAGGTGGAGGTTGCAGTGAGCCAAGATTGTGCCACTGCACTCCAGCCTGGGCAACAGAGCAAGACTCTGTTTCAAAAAAAAAATAGTAATTCAAACCATTGTAACTACCAGCAGTCACAAAGAGATTTTCAATACCATGAACAGTGGAATCCAAAATAAATTTCAGAATGTAATTTTATCATTAAAAAAATTTTATTGCTTAAAAAAAAAAGGAGAAAAAAATCATAATTCCATCACCAAGAAACAACCACTATTAAACATTTTGGTATATATCTATGTGTATATGTATAGCCTTTTAGGCATTTAAATATGTTTTATTTAAATATGTTAAATATGTTAAATAATGTTAACGCAAATGAGATACTTTGTTTTATAATGATACATGTAATTGTTCCAAAACAAAGATTTCCAGAGCAACTGATTTTCAGTGAGGCATTGCTAAACAAGCCTCCTAGCAAGGTAATGCTAGTAGCAAGTTAGCCAAGTGCTACATGGAGCAATGGATCAGCCCTGCATCATTGTAAAAGCTGTTATCCCCAAAGGAATGAACTATAAAACAGATAATTGAGGGACATCTAATTTGTACCACTCCAGTAGTGTTTTAGTCATATTATATTGATCATTCTTTTATTTCTTTTCCTTCAGTGGCTTTTTATTCTTTTGGGTACCTCCTTATTAAACTCCTTCCCCCAGTGTCTGAATCACTGAATTACTGTGCTTCTCAGGACAAATCTCACCTCTGATGATTCTTTCTAGCTTTTCTTCCCTCTTTTATCCAAACTAGTTGGCATAGCTACTAACCCACTATTTATCTTTCCTTATTTTCTCCCTCACTACCACTTATGGCCTCAGGTTTAAATAGTCAGCTAGATATTGGAGACTACTAAAACCTTTCTCACCTCACACTTACTGTATGTAAACCAAACTCATCCACTCCTCCTCAAATTACTCACCATCTCTCCTCTTTCCCCAGTATTGTTCCTTTAACAGAGCTAACATCTGGGAATTATCTTTAACTTCTCCCCTCCCTTTGTCCTGCCCAGTAACTATTAAATTGGTGCTTCAAAATATCTCCTGAATTTGTTCATTCCTTTCCACTTTTTTCACCTTCACTCCAACCCAGGCCAAGAATGCTTCCACAACTGCGAAATATCCTGAATGGGGTTAAGTGAAAATATCCTGAATGGGGTTGGGGCTCCTTTGCCCCCAATCCCCCACCTTCCTAGGATACTCTTATTATAATGGTGAGATAAAATGAAAGGAGAAGTGGGCTTGAAATCAAGAGCCCACTCAGCCACCCCAGGTGTGAACTTGAGCATGTTTCTTTCTTCTTTGAGCCCTGGGAATTTCCTTATCTGCAAAATGGCAAGTTGGACTGCCTTCATGGGCTCTAAGCTGCCTTGCAATTCTAACAATCTTCTACTGTGACACTTCTTTGCTCAAAGAATGGCAGTGACAACCTTTTCTCTGCCAGTATCACAGCTGGTACTCAATGTTTTCCAGCTTGCATTGTCCCTTACAACTAGACTGTTCACTTCACCATATCCCTAATGAGCCCCAGCCTTGCCACTATAAATGTCAGTTCCCTGTACTATTGTTCTTCTTATTCTGTAATTACATTACTCATTTTACAAACGTTTATGAAGTGACTATTAATGTACAGGGCATTTTGCTAGGTCCTGGAAATATGAGGTAAACCACATAATCTTTGCCCTCAAAGAATTTACTATCTCATTGGAGATATGGTTAAGTAGCTAACATATAATATGGTATTAAGTGCTATGCTGAAAAAAGTAATACATCTCAGCTGTTTGCCAAGCAGAAAGGGCATCACTTAACAAGATAAGATGCCCGGGAAGACTTCAGAAAAGATGAACTAATTCCAAACTGAGTCTTTTAATCTTAAAAGGAAAAACAAGACTGAAGGAGGTGAGAAAATGTGTGCTATGTCTACCTTGAAGGGCAGAGAAGGGAGGGGAATTATTATTTTTAAGAACAGGGCATACGGAAAAACACGAGTGTAGAGGGCAGGTGGCAAGCAGTGAGGTTGGTCATGATGAATAGCCTTCAGTGTCACCCTAAGGAATTTGGGGTTTTACCGAGGAAAGAATGGAATACGAGCTGTATTCTGATTCGGATTCCTTTCCTGATCTGTTAGGGGGAAAAGGTGGTTGTTGGGCACTGAAAGGGTCAAAGCCGATGACAGGATAATCCGGTAGGGGGAAATGGTGGTCTGCCAAAAATTGTCCGGCTACTAGGTGGTCCGCTAAAACAGTTCGGTGACCGATGCCTCACGGTCTCTTCAAAATAACAGGCCTCCATTCGGAGTCGGCCCAGCGGCCACCATCAGTGCCCATCAGCGCCCGGCCGCCGCGTCACAAAGAGCAGCACCCACCAGGGAAGAAGCGGCCTGCGAAGTCGCGAGATTTCTCGTGACTGCCCCTTGGACAGAGCATCTGGTAGCCCAGCAACCGCCACTGGTGTGCGTTCGACCCGGCGCCGGCGGAACCGATCAAACCGGAGTTACCGACCGGACTGTCCCGCGAGCGGTGAGCGGCCCGCGGGGAATAAGCATGGGGACCGAGGAAACCCTAGAACCATGTTTCTCAAACTTGCCTGCCAGTAAGACTTTCCTGGGACATTTGTTAAAATGATTACTGGGCCCTATCTTTAGACATACAGAATTTTCAGAAAAAAATAGTCCGGAAGTCTGTTTTTAACAAATGGTTAACTGGCAAGATTGGAAAACAGCTCTAGAGGAGGGAGACACAGGCGGAGGGGTTGGCCGCGGGGCCGAGGAAGCAAGCCGATGGACGTGGAGCTGAGTCTGAAAGGGTTTTGAAAAGCTTAAGGGCTGGAGCCAGTGATTTAGAGCATCTGGAGCCACTGAGCCTGTGACCTAAGTGGAAATATAGATACTAATTGGATTCAGAAAACGTTGTCCACTGCTTCTAGCCTGTGGGAATCCCAGTAGAAGAAAGCCAAAGGGTCCATTAAAATGGATTCCACCCATGTCAGAAACCTGTACATGTACCTCCTGAACCGAAAAGGTGTGTGTGGGGGGCGGGGGGGGGGGTGGATAAAGACAGACAAAGGAAAAAATTAAATTAAACTAAAATGGATTCCTAGAGGCTGTAAAGAAGCTCTAAGCTGTTCCCACTGGTGGTCTGGGAGAGAGAGATCCTAGTAAGAAGAGTAAGTAACAGAGATACGTAGAAAATGGAAAGTAGGGAAAAGCAGTTTCTCAAACTTTAGAACACAATGAATCTCTTTTAAAAGAAAACCGAGGATGCCTCACAACTGCTGACATTATTTTTATTATAATGTTCTAAAATATGTCCAAATCCACTCTAGGTTCAAACTCTTGAAGCTTTTAATTTTCTAAAACGATAAAGTTTAAATTAATATTGTTTTTAACAAGATGAATTATTTTTTAAATAACATAAAATAAAAAGTTAATTCCGGGCCACGTGTGGTGGCTCACGCCTGTAATCCCAGCACTTTGGGAGCCCAAGGCCGGCGGATCACGAGGTCATGAGATGGAGACCAGCCTGGCCAATATGGTGAAACCCCATCTCTACTAAAAATACAAAAATTAGCTGGGCGTGGTGGTGCGTGCCTGTAGCCTCAGCTACTCAGGAGGATGAGACAGAAGAATGGCTTGAACCCAGGAGGCAGAGGTTGCAGTGAGCAGAGATCGCGCCACTGCACTCCAGCCTGACAACCAGGTGAGACTCTGTCTCAAAAAATAAAACCCAAAAAACAAAACAAAACAAACAACTACCTTTCAGCCTAGCAATCCCATTTCTGGGATTACTATATGCCCAAAGGAATATAAATCGTTCTGCCAAAAAGACATCAGCACTTATATGTTCATCACCACAGTTTTCACAACAGCGAAGACTTGGAATCATCTTAGATACCCCTCAGTGGTGGACTGATAAAGAAAATGCTGTATATACAGCTTTTTTTTTTTTTTTGTCCGACATCTTAGAGAAGTTGCAGTGTTCGCCGCTGCTCTCGGAGCTTCGAAAGGCCGCCCAAGGAGGACAAGAAAAAGAAAGACAGGGGCCGGGCACGGTGGCTCACGCCTGTAATCCCAGCACTTTGGGAGGCCGAGGCGGGTGGATCACGAGGTCAAGAGATCGAGACCATCCTGGTCAACACGGTGAAACCCCGTCTCTACTAAAAATACAAAAAAATTAGCTGGGCACGGTGGCGCGTGCCTGTAATCCCAGCTACTCAGGAGGCTGAGGCAGGAGAATTGCCTGAACCCAGGAGGCGGAGGTTGCGGTGAGCCGAGATCGCGCCATTGCACTCTAGCCTGGGTAACAAGAGCGAAACTCCGTCTCAAAAAAAAAAAGAAAATGAAAGACGCCGAAAAGTCGGCCAAGGAAGACAAAGACCCAATGAACAAATCCGGGGCAAGGTCAAAAAGAAGAAGTGGTCCAAAGGCAAAGTTTGGGACAAGCTCAATAACAGTCTTGTTTGTCATAGGTAGCTATGACAAACTCTTTAAGGAAGACACCAACTATAAACTTATAACCCAGCTGTGGTCTCTGAGAGACTGAAGATTTGAGGCTCCCTGACCAGGGCAGCCCTTCAGGAGCTCCTTAGCAAAAGACTTATCAAACTGGTTTCAAAGCACAGAGCTCAAATAATTTATACCCAAAATACCAAGGGTGGAGATGCTCCAGCTGCTGATGAAGATGCATGGATAGGTCCAAACTACATTTGGAAAAATAAAACTATTAAATAAAAAAAAGTTGCATATATATATATATATATATATATATGAAATACTGCGCTACCATTAAAAAAAAAAATGAAGTAATGTCCTTTACAGCAACATGGATGCAGCTGGAGGCCATTATCCTAAGCAAATTAATGCAGGAACAGAAAATCAGATTGCTCCATGTTCTCATTTATTAGTGGGAGCTAAACATTCAGTACCCATGAACACAAAGAAGGGAACAACAGACATTGGGGCCTACTTGATGGGGGATGGTGGGAGGAGGAAGAGGGTCCTAAAACTACCTTTTGGGTACTATGCTCACTACCTAGGTGACAAAATCATTTGTAAACCAAACTCCAGCAACATACAACTTACCCATGTAACAAACCTGCACATGTGCCCCTAAATCTAAAATGAAAATTTTAAAAATAAAACAAATAAAAAGAAAAACGAATAAATAAAAATAAAGAGGCTAGGTGCAGTGGTTCATGCCTGTAATCCCAGCACTTTGGGAGGCCAAGTCAGGTGGACCACTTGAAGTCAGGAGTTCAAGACCAGCCTGACCAACGTGGTGAAACCCTGCCTCTACTAAAAATACAAAATTAGCTGGACATGTTGGCTCATGCCTATAATCCCAGCTACTTGGGAGGCTGAGGCAGGAGAATTGCTCAAACCTGGGAGGCAGAGGTTGCAGATTGCACCATTGCACTCTAGCCTGGGTAATAAGAGCAAAACTCAAGAAAGAAAAAGAAAAGAAAGGGAGGAAGAAAGAAAGAGAAAGTAAAAAGAAAGAGAAATAAAAGGGAGGGAGGAAGGGAAGGAAGAAAGAAAGGAAGGAAGGAAAGGAAGGGAAAATAAATTATTGGTTAATCTCCTTATTAAGCTTAGATGAAAAAATTCCTGGCAAGGTGGCTCATGTCTATAATCTTGGCACTTGGGAGGCCAAGGTGGGAGGACTGCTTGAGGCCAGGAGATTGAGACCAGCCTGGGCAACACAGTAAAACTCTGTCTCTACAAAAATAAAAAATGAAAAAATCAGCTGAGCATGGTGATGTACACCTGCAACACTAGCTCCTCAGGAGGCTGAGGTGAGAGAATCACTTGAGCCCAGCAGTTTGACGTTGCAGTGAGCTGTAGTCACAGCACTGCACTCCAGCTTGGGCAAGAGTGAAACCCTATCTGTACCAAAAATAAAAAATAAAAAAACGTTATTCTGACTAAGTTTGGTTTATCCCTGGAATGTAGGAAGATTTAACATTAGAAGTCTACCAGTCTGGGCAACATGGTACAATCCTGAATCTACAAAAAATACAAAAAAAAATCAGCCGGCATGGTGGCATGAGCCTATAGGCCAAGCTACTCGGGAGGCTGATGTGGGAGGACTGCTTGAGCCCGGGAGGCAGAGATTGCCATGAGCTGAGACTGCACCACTGTACTCCAGCCTGGGTGACAGAGTGAGACCTGTACTACACACACACATACAAAAAGAATTATCAATGTATTTCACCATATCTCCTAATGCACAAGAAAAACATTTCATAACCATCAACATTCATTCACAGTTTTTTAAAAAAAGTTTACACACTATGAATATAAAAACACTTTCTTAATCTGAATCTAGCTATCTTAAAAAAAAAACAGCAAATATCATACTAAAAAAACCTTACAACAAATATATTGTAAGTTTTAGTGGTGAAATGTTGCAAGTATTTCCTCTGAGATCAGCAATAAGACAAGTGTATATGCCCTCATGGCTTCTACTCAACATTGTTCCTAGGGGTCCTAGCCAGTGCAATAACTCAATAAAAAATAAAAAATAAATAAAAGGTTTGGAAAGTATAAACTGTCACTCATATATAATCTGATTGTCTACGTGGAAAACCCAAAGACTCTATAAAATAGAATTAATGTATCCTTACCAGTGTTGCTGGATATAAAAATCAATATTTTAAAAATACTGCATTTCTATACAGTAGCTACAAATAAGAAATGCAGTTTCCAAAAGAATAGCATTTGCAATATCAACAAAAATATATGATCCCAATAACTCAAAAGAAAAAAAAAAACAAAACTTGAGCTGGGCATGGTGTGCTCTCAGTGTGGGAGGCTGAGGCAAGTGGATTGCTTGAGCCAAGAGTTTGCAACTACCCTGGGCAACTTGGCAAAACCCCATCTCTACTAAAAATACAAAAATTAGCTGGGCATTGTGGCACAGGCTTGTAGTCCTAGCTACTCAGAAGGCTGAGATGGGAGGATCACTTGAGTCTGAGAGACAGAGACTACAGTGAGTCGAGATCAGGCCACTGTACTCCAGCCTGGGCAACAGAGTGAGACCCTGTCTCAAAAACAAACAAATGAAAAAACAAAACAAAAACTTATGCATAGCCTTAAATACAAAAGAAAAACTTTTAACTACTGAAAGTCATTAAAGCAGCACTGCCAAAATGGAGAGACATACCATACTCATGGGAAAGAAGACTCAATATTAGATAAATGTCAGTGTTTCATGAATTGTTTATAAATTTGCAATTCGTAACAAAATCATAAAAGAATTTTCATGGAATGAAAAACTGATATTAAAGTTTATATGAAAGAGTCAAGGACCAAGAATAACCCAAGTAGAGAGAGAGAGATTATTAATCTGTACTTATTATGACATTGTTGTCATGGGGATAAATATATAAATGAATGGAAAAGAACCATGGAAGAGAAAATATCCCACTTCCTACACAGTAATAACTCTAGATAAAGACCAAAATGCAACAAGCAAAACTTTAACATGTTCAGAAGAAAATATAGGTCATTTTTTCTGAAATTAAGGTGAGGAAGGAGTTACTAAATCCACAAAAACACAAAACATGAGAAAAAATAGGGATACATTTGACTATATTAAAAAATAAAGCTTCTGTTTTTTTAGAAGATATCATTAAAAGCAAATTAAGAAATGAGAAAAGAGGAAAAGACAAGCTACAGTCTGGGAAAAGACATTTGCAACACGTATTATCAATGAAATATTAGTATCTAATAGAAATGTGTGTATATCTAAAAATTTCTTAGAAAAGCAGAACTCAGTAGGGAAAATGGGCAAAATATAAGAAATAGAAATTAACAGAAGAGAAATTCCACATGGCCAATAGTCAGGAAAATACTCTCAGTCTCTCAGTAAGTAAAAAATGGCAAATTAAAACAGTAGTGAGATATTATTTTATACCCATCAGCTTGGCAAAAAGTTAAAGATTGCCAATATCAGGTGCCAACAACAGTGCAGGCTGCATTGTAGAGCAGTGGGAACTCTTACTTACCAGTGGTAGAATTCCTTTGGAGAACAACTGGGCAATATATAGTAAAGTTGAAATGTCCAACCCAGAAGTGGCCACTCCTAGTTTCAAACCTTAAAGAAGCTTTTCCATATGTGCCAAATGATATATGCAAAATCATAAAAGCAACAATGTAAAAGCAAAAAAAAAAAAAAGAAAATACCCTAAGATCAATCATTTTAGGGGAAATTTAATTTCTTACAATTAGAGCTACACACATCAACCCAGATGACTCTCACAAACAAAACATAAAGCAGAAAGGAAAGCTGAAGACGGAATAATATCACTAATATCACTGATGACATGTCAAATTGTGAAAAACCTACTATATATTGTTTAGATATACATACATCTGTAATAAAAGTACAAAAACATGAATACTCTAAATTTAAGATAAATCCTAAACTTAAGAGAATGAAGAGGAAGAAAGGTATAAAGGGGTTTCAAATGTATTCGTAATGTTTTATATTTTAAGCTGACCTGTGGGTCCATGGGTGTTATACTATTCTTATGCTTTTATTGTGAAATATTATATGAAGTTCTTTCATGGTAGGATTAAGAAGTTATTTTTATTGAATTAGAAACTTTGTTCACAATATTATGTCATATTTGAGATGTGATCTGAAAAGTCAACAGTAAGCTTAAAATTTTATTATAAAAATAATCATGTATGCAAATTTTTTAAATCTATGAAGATTTTATAATTTTTTTCTGCTCATTTCTGAGGCATAAGATTTTATAACTTTATTCTGTAGGTTGTACCTTGCATTTTGAAGAGTCTAAGAATACATTCTGTATCTTCAAATATTTTATTGTAGGCAATTTATAATAACATAGACTGGGCAATGCCAATATGTGAGTATGCAAATTTTATTTGTAGTCTACTGTATTCATTTTTCTCCTAAGCACTGATTTCATGTCCAGAATATTGTACACATTGAGGTATTTGGCTGGTTAAAGTCCATATACACTGAAATCATACTGTTTAATTTTAAACTGTATTTTTGGTTACATTTGTAGTAAATGAATGTGAAGCACAATTGGCGAAACTGGGATATTTATCACTTAAATAGCTATACTTCCTGGGCAATCGAAAAAAATGTGTTACCTCAAACCTCTAGACAATTTATGGCAATATTTTATTTACTTATTTAGAGACGGTCTCCCTTTGTCACCCAGGCTGGAGTGCAGTCACGTGCTCATAACTCACTATAACCTAGAACTCCTGGGTTCAAGTGATATATAGCTGGAACTACAGGTAGGTACCACGACCCCTGGCATGTTCCCCATATTTAGCAGTCCTCATATATTTCTGGTGAGACACTTAAGATAACCCAGTTAAGATAACCTTATCTGTGAACAAAAGAGTAATAGAATAATAATAATGATAACAAATGTTTATTGACCTGTGTACCAGGTACTATGCAAAACACTCCATAACAATTATCTCACCAATCCGCACATTATCTCTTAGACATAGGGACCATTATTATCCTTATTTTGTAAGAAATTGAAGTAATCTGCCCGAGATTGCCTAACCAATAAGTGATGAAGCAAATTTGAATCAGGCAATCTAGATTGAAAAACCCTGGATTATGTTGCCTCTTTGCGGATTATGGTTGTACTAACAAAACATAAAATTTCTAGGCCAGCTTTATTTTCAAGTATTTTGCACCACTGTCCTATGTACTTAAGGTTTTCACACCGTATATTCTGATTTAGGAGTTTCAGACTTATGGTCTCTATCGTACCGTGGATAAAGGAGCCAAGAGACCTGGTCCCTTTTTTTAACTGTCACTAACTTGAGTAGCTTGACGTATATCTCTGGGACTTAGTTTCTTCACCTGTGAAATGAGAACATTGTAGGATATTCCTGGAGGGCCTTTTTGACTCCAGGAGTGAATTATAATCCTTTAAAAGATGCCCATAAGCCAGGAGTAGTGGTACACCCCTGTAGGTTCCAGCTGAGGCTAAGACAGGAGGAGTTCAAAGATTGAGCTCAGGAGTTCAAAGATTGCAGTGCACTATGACCATGCCTGTGAATAGCCACGGCACACCAACCTGGGAACCATAACATGACACCCAGTTGTTTAAAAGAAAAAAGAGGCCGGGCGTGGTGGCTCATGCCTGTAGTCCCAGCACTTTGGGAGGCTGAGGCAGGTGGATCACCTGTGGTCAGGAGTTCAAGACCAGTCTGGCCAACATGGCGAAAACCCATCTCTACTAAAAATATAAAAATTAGTTGGATGTGGTGGCGGGCGTCTGTAATCCCAGCTACAGTTTCCTGAGGCAGGAAAATAGCTTGAACCTGGGAGATGGAGGTTGCAATGAGCTGAGATCAGGCCATTGCACTCCAGCCTGGGCAACGAGCGAAATTCCGTCTCAAAAAAGGAAAAAGAAATAAAAAAGATAATTTGCAATGATTCAAATACTAATTAGGAAGAAGAAAAGATTTAAAAGTAAAAGTGAGGCCGGGCGCGGTGGCTCAAGCACTTTGGGAGGCCGAGGCAGGTGGATCACGAGGTCTAGAGATCGAGACCATCCTGGTCAACATGGTGAAATCCCGTCTCTACTCAAAATACAAAAAATTAGCTGGGCATGGTGGCGCGTGCCTGTAATCCCAGCTACTCAGGAGGCTGAGGCAGGAGAATTGCCTGAACCCAGGAGGTGGAGGTTGTGGTGAGCCGAAATCGCGCCATTGCACTCCAGCCTGGGTAACAAGAGTGAAACTCGGTCTCAAAAAAAAAAAAAAAAAAAGTAAAAGTGAATGAGTATCATGTATTTAATTAGTTTTGATGCTTTAAATCTTTTTATGAAGTGTTAAGTCAATACACTTAGAAAATACCACAGTGGCCCTAAAAATGTCTATAAACTAGCTTATCAAATAGTTTCATACAAGGGAATTATTTAAAATGTAAGAATAACTTTTCCTTAAATTGCTATATCATAATGCTCCTTTTTTCTTTAATCTTTAGAAAGTTGGAAATAATACCTAAACTTACTTGTTGACATGGTATCAAAACAGAGCTTTTGCTGAGAGTTTGATTTATAAAGAAATTATGGTTCGACTGACCTTGGATCTAATTGCCAAAAACAGCAACCTTAAACCCCGAAAAGAAGAAACCATTTCACAGTGCCTGAAGAAAATAACTCATATAAATTTTTCAGACAAAAATATAGATGCAATTGTAAGAACTTTGAAATTATTTTCCATTTATATATAATTACTAATATAAAGTTTTGGAATTGGTTTGGGGGCATACCTAATATATTAACTATATTTTCGTTATTCTCATTAACTTTTTTTTTTTTTGAGACAGAATCTCACTTTGTTGCCTAGGCAGGACTACAGTGGTATGATCCAAGCTCACTGCAACCTCCGACTCCCAGGTCAAGCAATTCTTGTGCCTCAGTTTCCCCAGTAGCTGGGATTACAGGCATGTGCCACCATGCCCAGCTAATTTTTGTATGTTTAGTAGAGGCGGGTTTTACCATGTTGCCCAGGTTCACCATGTTGAGTTCTTGAGCTCAAACTCCTGAGCTCAAGAAATGATCCGCCTGCTTGACCTCCCAAAGTGCTAAGATTACAGGTGTGAGCCATCGCACTTGGCCTTTATTAACTTATTTTTATCAGTAAGCATTATATTGTGTTTTTAACTTTCTACTTGTGATATTAAATTTGTCAAAATTAAATCTATAAAATATAACTGATTTTTAAATATATAAAATATATGTATATGTTCTTCTACAACACTGTACAGTGTCTCAAGCTGGATTTGAAACTGTATGTTGGAAAATAATTTCATTGATAATAATTACTTTGGTATTATTGTAAAACCTTGAAATATACATTTTTTAAACATACCAAAATGTTAAGAAGTAACTATGTGAGTGCCATATTTCAAAAGTTTAACAGTGAGAGAAGATTGGGAAGAGGGGTGAGGGATAAAAACTACATACTGGGTACAGTGTATACTGCTCAGTTGAAGGGTGTACTAAAATCTCAGGACTCACCACTAAAAAACTTATCCTGACCAACCATGGGGGCTCATGCCTGTAATACCGCCTGGGCAACAAAGTGAGACTCTGTCTCAAAAAAAAAAAGAACTTATCTATGTAACCAAAAACCATCTATACCCCCAAAACTATGGAAATAAAAATTAAAATTCACACAAGAAAAAAAAGTTAACAGTGAAATATTTTTTGCATATAATTTAACTGGTCATGTAAATATATGTTACATTCGGTCAATTATATCAGACAAGTTTATGTTTATCTGGATATAATCTGAAACTACATTTTTTCAGCACTAAGGTAATTCTTGGCTATAATCTGGGAAACTTTAAAGGCTGCAATAACTCTTAAGCCATTTGTGTTGGTATCTGTTGTTTACAATAAATGCTAGAGTACAGGTGAGAGAAATTTTCTTGGAAACACAGGAGCTTCCTGAGGGCAGAAATCATGTCTATTGTTTCACATCACTCTAAATCCCTCATCCATTACAATGCCTGACTCATATTATGTGCTTAATAAATATTTATTGAGCAAATGAAAGAAATACTGAAGCCCCAGGCAAAATGATCAATTAAATGCTTGATTTTTTTGTAGGGACCCAACTCAGCTCCTGTTCTAGATACATTTCTGATTTCCTGGTGCTCCTTCTTCCCATGAATTCCTTTGCCCAAACCTCATATTTCTCTTTTGTTGCCCAGAATGCTCTACCTCATCAAATCATTTAAGACTACTTTCTCTGGAGACCACCCAGTAAAGTCCCCATTCCATACTCTGTCCTCACATCAATCAATGCTCCTCCAGGGTGGATGATCTTTGTTAGGAGGGGCAAATTGGTTAAAGTAATTCACTTTAAAGTGAGAATAACTTCTAAACTTACAGTTTCCAGCACATAGCTGTATTTTAAAAGATGTTAACTTAATGAAGGCTGAGAAAGTTTTGAGCAGAACTTCACTTTATTGCTTGTCTATTTACTCTAGGCTGATTCTGTCATGACACAAAAAAAATGACAGCCTTTTAAAAAAATCCCGTTAATTACTGTCTTATCTCAAAAGTAACTGGTAGCTGGGCATGTCGGATCATGTCTGTAATCCCAGCTATTCAAGAGGCTGGGGCACTAGGATCACTTGAGCCCAGGAGTTCAAGACCAGCCTGGGTGAGACCCTGTTTCAAAAAAAAAAAAATGTAATTGGTGTTCTTAGTCATATAAAATATATATAAAAAGAAAGAATGTAATCCTATTCAGACACAATCACCTTTAACATTTAGGTAATATCCTTTCAGTCTTTTATTCATATAATCTTACAATAGTGGGTCATACTGAATGTACTATTTTCATTTAATTATATATTATGAATTTCATTTAATTATGTATTAGATATTACTGAAGAAACAAAAGGTATTTAATGGTTCTACAGTATTCCTTTGGATACCATTATCGTAGTTTTTAAAAAATTAATCTATGATTCTTGAATATCTAGATGACTTCCAATTTTCAATATTATAAACCATAGTAGTTGACTTCCAATCCTAAATAAATATTAAACCCTATTTATAATGTTGAGACAATAATTTGCTTCAACTTCCAGAGGAGCCTGATTGCTTCCAGAGAAAATTTCTTGCACTGGGAAAATCTTAACAATTATGATTTTAATGATATAATTTTAGAATTTCTTTAAAAAAAGAAAGGAAAATTACAGAATTTATTTTGTAATCAATCTAGTCTAGAATTTCTTTCATAATCATTCTGGTCTTGTTTTAACTGTGCTAAGAACAGAGAAATACTGTTCTTTTATATTAACTTTAGGGAAATTTGCAGAATGATCAACTGAAAATTTTTCTTAAAAACTAACTTTTAACTTTTCAGGAGAAATTACATTTGACATGTTTTTGTTTCCCTTTTAGGACGACCTCTCTCTTTGCAAAAATCTTAGTGTTTTATATTTATATGATAACTGTATTAGGCAAATCACTAACCTGAATTATGCCACAAATCTGACCCACTTATACCTACAAAACAATTGCATTTCATGTATAGAGAATCTCAAGTCATTAAAGAAACTGGAAAAACTGTAAGTGCTTTTATTTTTTAATAATGTATCTGTTTTTCATGATTATAGTACTTAAATTTTTTTGCATGCAGACATTTCCATTTTTTGCATTAAATTCCAAAAGTAAATTGAATATGAAATCGATATTATTTCATACTCATATGAAAAAACCCATATGATTCCCACATGGGTTTTGTGGAACAGACCTCAGTTTTTAGTCTCTTGTACTATTATCAACAAGAAGTAAATTGTTTCACACATATAATGCTTAATAATTTGTGTTCTATTAAGCCTGATACACTTTTCATTCTGGGGAGTGGTTGTCTTAGGGCTAATAGGGATATCTAAAACATCCCCATGTAGGCTCAACCAATGAAAGAAATTTCCATGGAACCCAGATGAATTATGTGCCTTTCAGAATCACACATCTCATACCATCTGGTCATATAATTGATCCTATTGATGTAAACTTGATTGTAAAAGGCATTGAATATCTAGATGGCTTCCAATTATATAATGGAATGTAACTGGTAGCTGGGCATGGTGGATCATGCCTATAATGATTATAATTAGGCAATGAAGATTGGTGGATCCAATTTCCCCAGATTGGAATAACTGCCATGCTTCTCAAAGAATGGGCTAAAGGCCTCAGAATGGGGACACAAGAGTTGGCTGGTGAATGCTTATTAAAAATGCAGAGCACTGGGTTCCAACCTACATATCCAAATTAGACTCTCCAGGGGTTAGGCCCAGATATCTTAATTTTATTTTTATCTCTTGGGTTGAGACAGAGTCTTGCTCTGTCACCCAGGCTGGAGTGCAGTGGTATGATCATGACTCACCACAGCCTTGACGTCCCAGGTCCAAGTGATCTTCCCACAAGCATGCACCATCCTGACTGGCTGGCTTTCTTTCCTTCCTTCCTTCCTTCCTTTCTTCCTTCCTTCCTTCCTTCCTTTCTTTGTCTCTTTTTTCTATTCTTTCTTTCTTTCTCTTTCTTTCTTCTCCTTCTTTCTCTCTTTCTTTCTTTCTTTCTTTCTTTCTTTCTTTCTTTCTTTCTTTCTTTCTTCTTTCTTTCCTTTGAGATGGGATCTCCCTATGTTGTCAAACTGGTCTTGAACTCCTGAGCTCCCAAAGTGCTGGGATTACAGGTGTGAGCCACTGTGCCTAGCCATGAAATCTTCATTTTTTTAACCTACAACCCAGAAATGGTTATTATCAAACTATCTACCAGGGCTCTTCATAAGTTAGGTGATATGTAAAGAACCCCAGTAAATAGTTTAATAACTATTACAATTTGCTCACTTTTTTAAAAAGCAAAAAATGCATTTTTAGACTAAAGTGTGAGAATATAATTTGTTCTCTTTTAAGTAAACCAACCTTTCACAGATTCAATGTAAACATAATAGTCTACATTTATAATTTTGTTCAGCTCAATGGTTTTGTTATTACACTTTTGTCATGTTTAATAAAGACCACGACATTCCCAGAATGTCTATTTAGAATTATGTCTATGTTTTACAGGTATCTGGGAGGCAATTACATTGCTGTCATAGAAGGTTTAGAAGGATTAGGAGAACTAAGAGAGCTTCATGTTGAGAGTCAGAGGCTTCCCCCTGGGGAAAAGCTTCTGTTTGATCCAAGAACTCTTCATTCTCTGGCAGTAAGTTCACATCTGAATATTTTGATGAGGAATAATAGTGATTAACAAGTTATAATGAAACAGGAATACAGTGAAGGTATTTTTGAACATTGTACATACGCTGCATGTTTATATGGCCAGCTCAGAGCTTATCTGAGGACTGAAGCTGATTTTCTCATATGCAATGTTAGAGACTCAGCATTTATAAAGTGGGATAATAAAATCTGCCTCTTAGGGTAACTGGACGGATGAAAAGAAGAATGTTAAAAGATATGTTAACTGAAGTTCTAATACAGATGTTCATTTGTTCATAATGTGAACCTTGATGATTATCATGGCTCAACATTTTAAAGTTTAGGAAAAAGCTTAAGGGAAGAGGAATGTGCAAGTATTTGGAAACTTTTAAACAATCTAGTAGAGAGCCATTGTAATAATAAGTTGTTTCCTCCCAGGATCCTGATTTGATTGTAGGTTGCACTACATACAGTTCTACCTCATCAGAACTGTGTAGGCCTGGGAGTCCTAGGGTTGGGGCTCCAACTGTGTTGCCTGACAACCGGTTACATTGGATGGAGGTGCTATAATAAATTGAGAAGCCAGAGGGTACCACTTAGGCTCCTGCTAATCCTCAAAACAAGAGACTTGTTGGGATAGGCTAACTTCAAATCTGGGGCAGGAGACATAAATGGGACATGGTAGTTATTTTACAGATTTCATCAGTTTTATTTTATTTATTTATTTAGTTTTGAGCTGGAGTCTTGCTCTGTCACCCCGGCTGGAGTGCAATGACAAAATCTTGGCTCACTGCAACCTCCACTTCCCAGATTCAAGCAATTCTCCTGCCTCAGCCTCCCAAGTAGCTGAGACTACAGGCACATGCCAACATGCCTGGCTAATTTTTGTATTTTTAGTAGAGATGGGTTTTCACCATGTTGGCCAGGTGAGTCTCAACTCCTGACCTCAAGTGATCTGCCACCTCAGCCTCCCAAAGTGCTGGGATCACAGGTGTCAGCCACCATGCCCAGACTCATCAGTTTTATTTTAGAGGGCCCAGAAATAGAGGATAGTGGATGGATTTTGACCCGAATTTATAAAAATTAAGAAGTAGTTCCCCCAATACTTTAGTATCAGGAAATATTTTTTCTAAATGTTGGCTGTGCATGATGGATGCCTCCATCTTTTTTTTTTTTTAAACTAATAAAAACAGATACTACACTTGATCTCAGCCAAAAGACCATGAAGCAATGGTTGACTCCATCTTGGTAGATATTCCTAAGCCTCATAAGATGACTTTGATTTAGTGCTACAGCAACACTGAAATTCCTGTTAATTAGCTAATTATTATTTTAACTAGTTTCTGAACATATGGATTGTCAAGAGAAAACCATAAAGACAGGTAGAGAGAAAAATAAAAACCAGGTATTATTTTATTCGTGGTATGCTTCCTATTTAGCAAAACAAAGACAAAAACTGTTTCTTCCTATGTAAGTACAAATCTTTTTAGAGACAGAGTTTTGCTCTGTCACCTAGGCATGATCTCTCTCACTGTAATCTCCGCCTCTGAGATTCAAGCAATTCTCCTGCCTCAGCCTCCCAAGTAGCTGGGACTACAGGTGCACAGCACCACGCCTGGCTAATATTTTTTATTTTTAGTAGAGACAGGGTTTTGCCACGTTGGCCAGGCTGGTCTCAAACTCCTGACCTCAAGTAATCCATCCGCCTCACCTCCTAAAATGCTGAGATTACAGGCGTGAGCCACCGCACCCAGCCCCATGTAAGTACAAATCTTAGTATTTAGCACATAATGATAATTTGCTAAAGCTACAGTAAGCATTTTTTCTATATTGTATTATTCGTTTGTTGGTGCACATTTTTCTTTCTTTGCTTTTTGATTCTTGGCTTCTTTATTCTATAAATTTATTTTATATCTTGGAAAAGGAAAATATGACTTATGGAGGAATTATAGGGAGAAAGAATAAGTTACATAACATTATGATTCTAAAACTTCCATCTGAAAAATAAAATGCAACAAAAAGAATTACATGGCTTTTGATGTTCTTGCCTAAAGAACAAAACAACCTACACTGATCAAGCTTAAACTTTTCTAGGATTAGTATTTCTGGTTCCTATATATGGTATTTAGACTATTTACTAATTTTCAAGGATTAGGATTTCTGGTTCCTGTATACAGTATTTAGACTATTTACTAATGCTAACTTGGTTATTTTTCTTACAGAAATCCCTCTCTATATTGAATATCAGCAATAATAATATTGATGACATTAAAGACTTGGAAATACTGGAGAATCTTAATCAGCTCATAGCTGTTGACAACCAACTTCTGCATGTGAAGGTAGTATAAAGAAAAATTAATTTTAAGATAGTTACATGAAACTGTGATTGAAAAATATGTGTTTTGAAATAGCTACAAAATAAATATATCACATTAAAAGCTACTCTGGATTTGTTCTAAAATTAGCTAATGAATACTTCTTAATGTATTTATTTGCATAATTCTGTCCTCTTATTTGGTGATATCCTTCATACTCCAATGCCTCTATCCCTCACCAACAGAATAAAAGTTTCTGAGAAGGGAAGCACCTCTTCTTTGCATTATTTCCCCACCAAGCCTTTCCTTCTAGAGAAGGAAAAGACTAGATTTCTTGCCCCTTAAGACTGATTTCCCAATGAATGAGTTTCTAGTAACTGTGACTAGACCTGAACTCTCTCTTGGCTACTTCCTTTTGGGGAATTACTTGAAATTGTTCTGATTGAACTTACTCTAATTTGTGCCAGTTATACTGATGTCATGTTATATCATATAATGCCATATTCATTCAATTATTTATTTATTCAAATAGGTATTGGCCACCTACATATTTGTCAGGCTTGTACTACTCAGTGTAGAACAAAGAAAGGAGTATATGGTCTTCATCTTCAAGAAACCTATAACCAACCAGTAATGAGACTACAACATGATACTGTTTTTTTTTGTTTTTGTTTTTGTTTTTGAGATGGCATCCTGCTCTGTTGCCCAGGCTGGAGTGCATTGGTACGATCTTGGCTCACTGCAATCTCTGCCTCCTGGGTTCAAGCGATTCTCCTGCCTCAGCCTCCCAAGTAGCTGGGACTACAGGCACGTGCCACCATGCCTGGTTCATTTTTTGTATTTTTAGTAGAAGATGGGGTTTCACCATGTTAACCAGGATGGTCTCAATCTCCTGACCTTGTAATCCACCTGCCTCGGCCTCCCAAAGTGCTGGGATAACAGGTGTGAGCCACAGTGCCACAGTATTACCATAATACTTTTTATAAGTATTATGGTAGCCCTAACTCAGCCAGGGACTACAGAAGGCTTCCTTGAAACAGTCATCTATGGGTTGAGCAATGCTATGACCTCAGAGTTTCTGGTTTGGCAATGGAATGAGCTGTGGTATAATTTCTTGACATATGAACCACAGGAAGAAGAATGAGCTTCTTTCTCCCAAAAGCAGCTTTTGTTTTCAGAACAGTCATCTGGTGACCCTAAAAATGTTATGTTGACCTTGTTTCCAAATTCAGACCCATTACTTGGCTCATCTCATAGCTGCTATAAGCAATAGATAATTATGAAAATAAATATATGTATTCTAGCACAAATGAATTACTCAAAATATCCAAAATGCCACTGAATAATCAGGATGGATGTTTGAAATAAGAAGGGCTTAGGAAGCATGACTCAATTGGTTGTTTCAACTTACAATATGAAAAAGTAAGACGTTCATGGGATAAATTCTGAATTAAAATATATTTTACATTTTATTTTATTTTTTGAAACAGAGTCTCACTCTGTTGCCCAGGCTAGAGTGCAGTGGTGTGATCTTGGCTCACCGAAACCTCCGCCTCCCAGATACAAGCAATTCTCCTGCCTCAGCCTCCCAAGTAGCTGGGATTACAGGCATGTAATCAGGAGATCGAGACATCCTGGCTAACACAGTGAAACCCTGTCTCTACCAAAAATACAAAAAATTATGTATTTTTTGTATGCATGTACCTGTAGTCCTAGCTACTCGGGAGGCTGAGGCAGGTGAATTGCTTGAACCAGGGAGGAGAGGTCGAAGCGAGTCAATATCGTGCCACTACACTCCAGCCTGGATGAAAGAGCGAGACTCTATCTCAAAAAAAGGAAAAAAGGAACAATTACAATAACATGTCAGCATCACTACTCTTGCACTCTGGGGCAAGTAAAATAAGGGTTGCTTGAATACAAGCACTGCAATAGTAACACAGTAGATCTGATAACCCAGTTGGTTACTAAGTAGCATGTATAACATGGAAATGCCGGACAAAAAATAATTCATGGCCCTGGGCAGGACAAACAGGCCAGTGCAAGATTTCATCATGATACTGAGAACAACACCCATTGTACTCAGCTAGGCTTGCTGGCTGATGCCTGTAATACCAGCACTTTGGGAGGTCAAGGTGGGCAGATCACTTGAGGCCAGGAATTCAAAATCAGCCTGGCTGACATAGCGAAACCCTATACAAACATTTGTCAAAAGTGGTGGTGCATACCTGTAATCCCAGCTACTCAGAAGGCTGAGGCAGGAGAATTGCTTGAACCTAGAGATAGAGGTTGCAGTAAGCCAGGATTGTGCCACTAAACTCCAGCCTGGGCAACAGAGTGAAAAAAAGAGCATCCATTTTAAAAATTACAAATTCTTTTTTTCTGGGATTTTACATTAAATATTTTTTGGGCCACAGTCGACTTTGGGCAACTGAATAAAGGGGGTAGGAGGGAACTATTATATTATACTCCATGTGCCAGGCACTGTTCTAGGGCCTTGGAAAAACACATCTTAAGTACTGGAGATACTATGATATATAAGACAAAGTCTCTACCCTCAGCCGGGCATGATGGCTCACACCTGTAATCCTAACACTTTGGGAGGCTGGGGTGGGCAGATCAATTGAGGTCAGGAGTTTGAGACCAGCCTAGCCAACATGATGAAACTAGGAAGAAAAAGAAACAGGGAGATTACATTACAGAGGGACAAGGGAGGAAATGGTATGAAAATACATAAGCAAGGCTGGGTGTGGTGGCTCATGCCTGTAATCACTGCACTCTGGGAGACCGAGGCAGAAGAGGATTGCTTAAATTCAAGACCAGCCTGGAGAACAAAGGAAGACCTTTCCTCTACAAAAAAATTAAAAAAGAAATGAGCTGGGCATGATGACATGTGCCTGTAGTCCCAGGTACTCAGGAGGCTGAGGTGGGAGGACCACTTAAGCCCAGGATGGGATAACTTGCCCCAAAGTACAAGACTGTAGTGAACTGTCATCTGTCCACTGCACTCCATCCTGGATAACAGAGTGAGACCCTGTCTCAAAATGAAAAAAAGAGAGAAAGAAAGAAAGTGGGAAGGAAAGAAGGAAGGGAGGGAGGGAGGGAGGGAGGGAGGGAGGGAAGGAAGGAGAAAAAGAGAGAGAAGAGAGAAAGAAAGAAAGAAACCTTCAGCTCTTAAGAGAACAACAACAAAGAAACCTAAGCAGAGAAGATTGTGAAAAGTGCTGTGAAGGCATTAAATAAGATAACAAAAAAAAAAAAATGAGTCAGTGGATATTTTAGATCAGGTTATTATGAAAGGCCTCTGAAGAAATGACATTTACACTGATAATTAAAGGATGAGAAAGAAGATATGCAAAGAGCTGGGGAAAGAACATACCAGGCACCAGGTAAAGCAGATGCAAAGACTCTGGGGCCACAGAAAGCTTGAGTGTCCAAGGAACACTGTAGTATGGTTCCCAGTGCCTAGCTCAGTTTCTGATACATTGTAGGTGCTCAATAAATACACTGTTGAGTGAATGAAGCGTCAACAGTACACAATATGAGATTAGAAAGAAAGACACAGAGGCCAGATTGTAAAGGTCCTTTTAGGATATGATCACAAGTTTTTACCTTATTCTAAGTGCAACAAAAACCCACTGAAAGGATTGTTTTCTTTTTCTTCCCTTCCTCTGTCAACTGAAGGAATATTAAAAACAAAAAAGATTTCTCTACTGCTATGTGAAGAATGAGTTTCAAGAATGACAGCAAAGAGATCAGTTGGGAGACTACTGCGGAAGTTAAATAAGAGAAGATGGTTGCTTAGAGATGAAGAGGAGTGGGTGGGTTTGGAAATAATGAGTTATATTTTAAGGCAAAATTCATATAACTTCTTGATGAGCAGGATGCAGGCATAAAGGAGGGGAAGGAATCAGTATGACTCCTAAATTTTGTGTGAGGAACTGGGAAGACTGTGGTAGCCTTTATAAAGAAGAAATAGAATAATTCCACCTGGTGAAATGCCTATTGGATATTGAAATGAACATGTCATGTAAGCATCTGGAGTTTAAGGGAGAAGTAAAATTGGAAAGTTTGGGAGTCAACAGCATTTACATGATATTTAAGAGCCATGGCATGGGGTGAGATAGAGAAAAAAGATGAGGCCAAGACCAACACAAAAACCCTCCAGTATTTAGAGATCAGTTAGACAACTCCATCAGGAGTCAGCGATGTAGAAGAAGAGAAAAAGGAGTTTCAGGAAAGAGGGAGTGGCCACTTGCACTGAATGGTTAATGTGAGGGAAAATGAGAGTTTAAAGAACACCTGGATAGAATACCTGATTAACAAAGTTACAGGGGACAAGTTTAATTTGTGATGAAGTTGAACCAGAGAGTCTGTGGGTCAAAAACCACAGCAAATGGTAATGCCAAAAAAAAAAGTGGGTGGATTTCATTAAAGACTGAGCACTGAAATGTCAGAGAGCAAATATTTCTCTCCTGTCTCATGCATACAAGTAGACGCTATTCTCAAAACCCTGTCTACATGGGCTTAAAATGTTGCGTAAGAGTTGGTGAATTTGTTCCTTTAGGGAAACTGACTAGCTCAAGAGAAAACATCTCCCAATCCTGACGTTTAAGGGTTTCAGAGGGAAAATTCCAGCTGCCTGCCCAGTTGCCCCGCGGTGAGACAGTCAACAAGCTTTACCCTCGCACAGAAAGCTCTCATTCACTTTCATGAATAAACAGGCAGCTCAGGATTAGGAGACCTCTGAAAAGAGCCTCTAAAATGAAAGAGAGAGAAACAGAAACAAAAAGAATTCTGAAGAAATAAATCATGTGGAAACAGGAAAATAATCCTTTAAAATCACACTATAATTTCCAAAGAGAAATGAAAAGGATTCCATAACCTTGAAATAAAGGCAAGATTCTATTTTTTAAAGAAACATGAATAACAGAACACTTAAAAATTAAAAATGGGATGAGGAAATGAAATATTCAATATAAGTTTAAATGATACAGTTGACAGTCTCCCAGAAAGAACAAACAAAA